TTAGATCCATTCGGGAAGGTATTTTATTCGTACCTGTGGAAGGCCAACCCCTCTCTGTCCTACGAAGGTACTAGACATCATGCTTATGGTTACTTAAAGAATCGTCGTCGTGAAGGGGCAATCCTCGTGCAGGGCTTATGTCAAGAGCGTCTTAGGTCCTCTGGGCTGAGTTTTAACACCAACTTCTACGATGCCATCAATGCGTTCCATAGCGTTTCGCACGACATGCTGATCATGTTCATCCGCTTGCATTCTGATTCAGTTTCTGCACGGCTTTTTTCACAAAGATTGGTGCACGGTCACGTCAGTCTCGAGTGCGTCGACGGGGTCCTGGACATGGGTATAGGATCGGGCATTCTTCCTGGGGATACTATAGCTTGTCTGTGGTTCCTGGGTCCATACCACTGGTCCGTTGACGGGGTTATTTGTACTGATAGTCCTGGGCTTAGCGTCACGCTCCCCTGGTTGAAACACTGTCTGACCGATGATGTGCACGATCGTTTGCTGCTCTGCTCCTGGTCGGATAGACCGATTGACATCTCGCTCGCGAGTTTCGCCGACGATCTGGCGAGAACTCAGCTTGTGCGATCGCTGGAAGGTCTGATTAGGTTAAATAAACAAAACACTGCTTTGCTGCAAGACAGACTAAGTATCGCGAGCGTCCAGGCGAATTCGAGCAATCAAGAGAGCCTGGTGCACCTGCGCGGCCGTGGTGCCACCGCTGCCAAGAGGAGGCTGTTCGGAGGCAGGTGCACGGAGAGCGGGGAGTGGAGGCTGAGGAGCGGGGAAGTTATGCCTGGCTAAGTATTGCGATGCTGCAGGTATCTAGGCCCCCTCCTTCAAGCTGACGGCAGCTCTCTGAGCGAAATCCCAAGGAGAATTTCGAAAGCTCGTACCAGCTATCACTATCTGCAGCAATTCTAGCAACATTGCACTAACAGGAGGTGGAAAGGGATTGTGTTCCGCTCTGTTGTTGAAGGGGCCTTATCTTCTGGCCTGCCGGCCTTGGCGTTGCTCAGCGACAGCGTGCACTAGCTAGATAGTGCGCAAGCGAGCATGGCTCGTCGGCTCCTGCGAGGTGCTGCCAGTGGGAAGGAGAAGGATGAGGCAGGAGACATCACCTTTCACGCTATGACGAATTCGAGTGTTCTTCGCACCTTGAGGATGGTGCCAGTGTCCATGAATTTGAGGATGCAAAGAATCAAGCGGTTGCAAGATGTGGTGAGAAGACCGTTACGCAACCTCCAGCTCTTAGGCGCGATGTTCGGAGTTAGTACGTGAGAAGAGCAGGAAGTCAGGTTCGTCGACAGAGAGTGATTTCGAATCGGTCCTGAGTTTGAGTGGTGGAAGCAGTTTTTGGAAGATGTAGGTGAGCTTTTTCGCGTAGGTGAATACGAAGAGTTACTTGCTCGTGTTAAGGAGCGCCCAGTGTCGCTATTCTGCGAAGAAGAGGTGCGACATGCCTTCCTCAACGTCGATCCTCGGGCGATGGTGAGCGAGTACCTAGGTCAGCAGATACCTCCTTCCGCCTCCCTGGGTTTCTCCCCCCCCCTCCCCTCCCCCTCCTCCTGCCCCTCCTCCCCCTGGGTTCAAGTGTGGCATCTATATGGGGGGGGGGGAAAGAGGTGTCTGCGATGCTGTGTTCTCTACCAGGCGTCAGCTCCTCCTTCACCAGTCTAACTCGAAGCTCCCCAACCATGGTTATCGTGCATTAGCCAGGGTGGTTACTGTTTCTAACTCGTGCATTCTGTGTGGCAACATGTATTCGACGAAGAGAATAGCAAGCGAACGCTTGATCAGGAGTCTCGTGAATCGTACTTGCCCCAGGTCCAGAGGTTCGGCGGTGGTCTTTGAACATCTACCCCCCCCCCCTACGCCTGTGAGCTATGCGAGATTTCGCTCGACAACTATGACGAAGCAAGGTGGCACCTGAGACAACACCTTCCCCTAGATGACCAAATGCTTGAGCTCTAGTGGTGCCCCTGATATGTATCGTGGTGCTGTTGCTTTTCCCCTCCCTGTGCGTTTTCGTGGGTGTCGTGTTTGTGTATTGGGTGTCTGCTATGAAGTTCGTCCAACATGTGGGATTACGCTGTCTCGCCGTCGCTGTTCCAGGCTCTGTCGTTCCATTTCTCTTCCTGTTGCTGCTCTAGTCACTTTGTGCACGTTCAGTTGATGGCGGCTCAGCAGTGGACCGCTCTCTTCGGCAAAGTTGGTGAGAAACCAGCTACGGCAGCTGGGCAGGACACTGGCATCCAAGCGCGCAAGAAGTTTGCAGTTGAAGACACCACGGTGGAAAAGAAGGCCGACCTCGCCCTGAAGTTAGGCGTCATCAGTGCCCAGAGGAACCACCTCCTCGAGGCGGCGTGCACGTTCCAGTTCACGCTCGAGGTTGCCGACCCGATCTTCTGTGCAATGAAGCAGGCTCAGGAGCAAGAGTACCTCCCTCGTGTGAAAGGCAACAAGGGGCACGGTCGCGGCGCCCCCGACAGCTTCATGTTCTTCGGAGTAGTACTTGTGCGGATGCCCCGTGCCAGTGAAGCCCAGCAGGTCATCCTTCGCAAGTTTTTAGATAACTTTGTGCCAGGCAGCCTCCAGTCCCAGCTCCTCGTCAAACTCTTTCGTACTGAAAAAAATGTACGATTCGAAGGTGCGTAGGCTGATGGTCGCGATCAACGATCCGATCCTTGAGGCCACTGTAATCACTTTGTTGCAGGGCACAGATGAAGCTACTGTTTTTACCGGTCCCAGGCCAGCTGGCTATCTTGAGCTCGAGGGTCAGGCGTTGATTACCCCAAAGTAGAGCGTTGGAGCAGCAGCTGTTTGGGAGAGTGCACGGCCGTGCGCCGACGTCCGCCGAGAGGCGCCGTCGCTGGCGCCCTCCTGTTGAGGAGAGCCGAGTTCTCGTAGCGAGGGGGTTACCCCGAGTTTCTCCCCAGACCGTCGGAGCCTCGGTCTCAGTGGAGCCTTACCTTACCTCCTCCTCCTCCTCCTCCTCGTCCTCCTCCTCCTCCGCCGAGGCTTCTCCTCCTCCGCCGAGGCTTCTCCTCCTTCGCGAGGATCGCCTCCTGCGCAACGACCTCGAAGAGGGCCCGGAAGGCTGTGACTGACGGGCGGGCCTCGGGCAACAGGGCGGCGCGGTGCCAGCCACACCTGCACAACACACGTGCCGTCGCTGTGGAGATGCCCCCGGTCCACAGCTGGAGAGGCCAGGAGCTCCTCGAGGATGGCCCTCGTCACAAGCGCCCTTCTCGCAGCAGCCTGCACGGCACCCGCCGCGGACGCAGTGGCAGGGGTGACAACAGATTGGAGCTTGGCCTTTTTTGCGTTCCGGGCGCGGCTGAGAGAGAAGTGGACGTTCCGGCCAGAAGCACGTTGTATCAGAACCAGTTCAAGTGGAGCAGCAACCACCATGGCGCGTGGGGATGGCAAAAATATAACAGGTGCAACAAATTTGCACCTGTTATATTTTGCCGACGAAGAATTGTTAAGGGTTTTCCAACATGGCCACTTGTGTTTTTTTTTCATCCCAGGTCGATGATCATGCAACCAAAAATGGAAGCCGTCCCACAAGCAAATGCCTGAGAAAATACGGCGCTCATCCTTCTCCTCCTCCTCCTTCTGCTCCTTCTCCTCCTGATCCTTCTTTCTGATTTTCCTGCTCGTCATCCTGCTCATGCTCTTGTTCATCCGCCACAGCCAACCTCCTCTAAAGCGCACATCTCCCTCTTCTGCTTGCGCGTAACGCGATGGCTTCGTTTTAAGTTTCCAGATCTGCTATATCACCCGGCGGCGAACAGGGAACAAACCAACGCAACGGGAAGCGATGGGGGACAGGGGTGGGGCGTACGATTCGGCGCATGCGCACCTAGCTTGTCCTCCTCCCCCTGGTCTTAGGTCGGGCGTGCCCTCCTACAGGCGGATGTTGGACGAAAATCGAAAAATATCCCAACAAACATTCAAACCATATGTTCAATCCATGTAATCATACCTTTCTACATATACATATGTACATATGTATATCTAGATAACAAAAAACTAGATGCCCCCCTTCTCTCTGTCAATATAGTTAGTTATATATTTCGTCGTACGTATATGTCTACGTAGGTGTGTATTGCTTTTATATGTGCAGGGGTTGGCCATCCTCAGATACGTGTACACACGTGAACATATACACACAAACACACACACAAACACATGTATATAGATATGCACATAAAGATGATTATACATGTGTGGGTGTGTGCACGTGCACATATAACCAACGCGTCGATGTATGCACGCTTGCACGTCGATGTGTGTGTGCGCATGGGTGAATGTGAATGTTTATACATTCAGCTTGATGTGCATGAAGACATGTGCCCTTATCCATATACAAATACACGTGGCACATGCGTGCCCAGGCTCATACAGAAAGAATTGCAGCGCTTAAGCATCGCAGGACATTGACAAGAAGAGGACTACGAAGTCGGATCAGAGGAGGAGGAATGAGATGGAGAAGCAAAACATTAAGGAGCGACGGAGGACAATGAGGATCATTAGGGGGTTGTTGGGAAGGAGGTGCAACAGCAGGATCGCAGTCGAACGCAGGCAGGGTTGCTATATATTGCGATGTGTGCGGCGCAGGAGGGTGTTCTACACCTTTCGATTGCACTTCGGAAAAAGCTCGGAAGCCAACGTTGAGAGGATGTCTCTAGTGAAACTGTCGCAATGTTTGGGGGACGTCTCACGCGAAACTGTCGTTGTTCGAAAAGCGACGTCCAAAACCGGCGCTTGCGGCAAATCCGCCGCCGTGCCAGCAAAGCACGCACTCTGTGGGGCAACCCTTCGAGCGCCGCCCATACGGCCGTCACACGTGACACCTCTCGTTTGCATTTATTGATTGGCTCTCATGCGGCTTAGTTTGGCCGTCTTGAGGCTGTCTTGGGCCGGGGTATGCGGACCTTTGAACCTCCTTCTCTTGCTCCTTCTGGTCCTCCTCCTCGCGGCTGGAGAGCCAGGACCCCCTGAAGCTCGGCGGCGCCTTGCCGCCGCTACCGACGCCCGCCCAGGCTCCGGACGTCACCAAAGCTTTCGATGCAGTCGTCGTGTTCGTCGTCATCGTCGTCGTCGTCGCCGCCGTCGTCGTCGTCGTCGTCGTCGTCGTCGTCGTGGTCGCCGCCGCCGTCGCCGTCGTCGTCGTCGTCCTGTTCAGCTGGGTGCGTTTGCAATGGCTGCTTGAAGCTCCAGCGTGGAGCGCTGGTGCAGCCTGGTCACGCCCCTGGGCGGGAATGGTCAGGCGCGACGAAGCGGGCCGTCGGGCCACCAGCCCAGCAATGGGTCAGTTCGGCCTCCCGCAGCCGACACTGCCGCCACCACCACCGGGAGGAGAAGGAAGAGAAGAGGAGGAGGAGGAGGAGGAGGAGGAGGAGGAGGAGGGGGAGGAGGAGGAAGATGAGGAGGAGGAGGAGGAGGAAGGGGGCCTGAGGGGGTCGTCAGCGTCAAGGTCGTCATCAAGCTCATCCCCATCTCTCTCTCTTCCTCGAGGATGCGTCCTGGTGGGGGTATGCCGCTTTGGGGAAATGCGGCCCTGTCCGAGAGCGGGGGTCGCCTTGACAGTCAAGCGACCAAAAAAAACCATCACCACTCAGGGTTCTGCCTGTTGCTCCCAGTGCCCAGTAGCGCTGCAGTAGTGCCCAAGTAACTCCCAGAAGACCGCGAGCCCGATCCGATCCTCCCCCTCCTGCTTCTCATCCTTCCTCCTCTTACGCCTCCCTCCCCTTCCTTCCTGTTCAGCGAAAGCAGGATCTCCGCTCCCGAGTCGCAAGCGAATGAGCGTCGGCCACGCGGCACAACAACGAGAGGCATCGCGCGCTGCGGCGCTGGCTTGAGAGGCACCCTGCGCCAGCCGGGGAGAGGATGGCGGTGAGGACAACACTGGCGCGCGTGATAGTCTGGATGCCTCCATGTTGCAGGGCCAAGCCCATACTGTTTTGCCATCCCCAGCCGCGCGCAGAAGATGCTCGCCTCGAGTGGCACTGCACACGAGCAGGTCTGCATCACCATGACGCTGATGACCCAGGAGCACATAATGGCTTCGAAAACTGAGCTGGAGAAAGAAGCTGCCACGCCCGGCCCATTCGACGGAAAAGCCTGACGTGCTTCAAAATTTTGTCCAGGCATTGGACAAGAGCATTCAACGTGTGTTGGTCATGGGCGCCTTCGTATCCACATCACGCAAAATGCCCCTCACCGCCTTCCACTCCATCAAGCCATAAGTTGAGCCCGCTGTCGGAATCTGCTGCTTCAGAGACGCGTGCCCCTCCTGCCCATCCCTCCTCCAGTGCTCTGTCGCACGACTACGAATGAGGACGCGACGTCAGTGAGTTGCTCGCTGTTTCGTTCAGGCAGCGTGGCTCTTCTAATAGCGCGCCACTCAAATTAGAGTACCGCCAGGGGCGCGAAGATAGCCGCGCTTCGCGCGCGGCGGCCTGGGTCAGAGCGATTGTCTTTCGCCAGTGGGCCGGCACGAGGGCGCGAAGATAACCGCGCATCGCGCGTAACGGGGCACGATTCGCGAAGTTTGGTGAATTAGGTGCAGACGATTTCGTCATTCTCATACTCCTTCGGAGTGGTCCTGTAAGGTCCCTGGAGACCCTCTGGAGGTCCACGGATGTCTCCAAAGCTCTCCTCCCGGGAGCCGTCCGAGCATATTTCATCCTTTCTCTGCCTCCCGGCTCCCGCGAATGCCCCCGAAGGCGTGCAGCGCTCCGAGCAGTTTTTCCTGCTCCTGTTCGGACGGGGCTTGGAAGAGGAAACATCCGCGCCAGAGCGAGCCAGAACGCTCTGAGAAGATCGCGGTGCCCGAGACATCCTTCAGAGCCGCCCGATCTCAGAGATGCTCGATTTATCCTCACCCGATGTGATCTTCGCCCTGCCTTCATCTTACCTGCTCCTCGTCCTCCTCGTCCCCCCTCCCTCTCCTGCTCCCTCTCCGCCTCCCTGCCCCCGCGACTGCCCTCCGCCCTCCTCGCGCGCGCCGAGCGGAGGCCGTGAGCAGCCGGAGAGAGCTTGCCTCGGCGCTGCGCGGGGCGGTGGAGCAGCGCATGCGCCGCTTCACGGAGGGGCTGCTGAGGCGCCCCCTCCCCGCGGGCCGAGCCCCGCAGACTTCGAAGAGGAGGGAGAGGAGGAGGAGGAGTAGGAGGAGGAGGAGGAGGAAGGGGGAGGAAGGGGGAGGAGGAGGGGAAGGGGGTGGGGGAGAGGGGATGAGGAGGATCGCACTTGGGGGCAGGAAGTCCGTCGGTGGTCCCCTGGGGGGGCCATCTCACTCTGCGCGTGCAAGAGGTGGTGAAGCCCCGTTGAAGGGTGTCTCCGGGCCAAAGGACCAGCCCGAACAACCCTCTTTGTCACCTCGGTGGCGAGTCTCTAGCGAGCTCAGGGGAGGAGATCGGAGACTGCGTGTCTCCTTCCAGGCTGGCCCATGCGCCCTCGCAGACAACGCGGTTATGAGCCAGGCTCATTACAATACTGTCATGGAGGGAACAGGAGGAGTAGAGAGGATGGGAGAGGGAGGAGGGAGGAGCAGGAGGTCCTCTCCCCCATCCCTCCTCCCTCGCTTTTCTTTCCTCCTCACGACCCCCTGTCAGGCACGACAAGTGGCTCTGGGTGTTCTACGGGCACCTGCTCGTGCTCTATGTCCTCTGCGCGGCACCCAGTCAGTGCTCGTTGGGAGGGCACCGCTGTCGCTTCGGACAGGCACGACGACGGCTGCGGCGGCGACAACGCCGACCAGGAGGAAAAGGAGGGGGACCATTGCAAACCCAAGACTCACCAACGATGTTGGAATACACCCTCACTCCAAGCTCCCTCGTCACAGGCCCCTACAAGGATTCATGTCTGCTGGGGGAAGTGCCCCGTTGGGGGCGTGTGAAAACCCTGAACCGTGCAAGAAGACAATTCTCAGGATTTCAACGTCACGGGTCAACTTGACTGTTGCGTCTTGAGGATCATATGTGCTACGTTAACCCTGAGAACTTGTGAAACTCTTGCGCAGTTTTCAAGCGATCGCGCGCGGCGCTGAAACGAGAGCCGGTTTGAAAACGACCCGCCCTCAATCCGTGAAACGCTCGCAAATTTTTAAAGCGGGTGATCGCGTCGCGACGACGAGAGCCAGATGTTGAAAAGGAGCCGCCCTTAATCCTTGAAACTCTTGGCGAATGCGCACGGCCCTAAGGTGAAAGCCGCATGTTGCAAACGAACCGCCCCCATTCGGGTAACATTGCACAAATGTTTAAAACGAGCGTGCGCCGCGCTAAGGTGAGAGCCACATTGTTTAAGCGACCCGCCCTCGATCTGTGAAGTTCTTGCAATTGTTGTCAAGCGACCCACCCTCAATCCGTGAAGCTCCGCATACTTATCCATTTATACACACACATTCGCTCACCACCAGAAGCACTCACACCCTGTCCTCGCCCTCGCCCATGCCCATACCCTGTCACCTATACCCACGTTCATTTACATTATACCCTCTCATACCCAGAGTCGCTCGTACCCAGACGCCTTGATAGTATGACTTACTTATGCCCAGTCGCTCAAACTCAGAACTGGCCATACCCAGACTCTGTCATACCAAATTCTTGACACTTCGCGTATCCCCACCAGTTTTTGTTGATCGGCCCGTGGCCCGGACCTTTCAACTCGGCGCCTGCGCTTCCGCTTGCGCCCGCTAGGACAAAAAATATCCCCACCAGCCCATCCAAAAACGATGCCCAGGCGAGTTGCCTCTCAGGGTCTCCTCGGATGTCTCTTGGAAGCTTTTTGGATGTCTCTTGGAGCGTCTTGGGGACCTCTTGGCGGTCCCAGGGGCCTCTCGGAGCGTCTTGGGTGCCTCGGGGAGCCTCTTGGGGCCTCTTGGGGGTCTTTTGGGAGCCTCTTGGAGGCCTCTTGGGCGCATCTTTGGGCGCTCTTGGGCGCCTCTTGGGCCCCTCTTGGGAGCTTTAGGGGAGCTCTTGGGGCCATCTCGGAAGACATTGATCAAACAAAGACATTGTCGCAATCAGCCTCCCCTCGGGAGCCCAAGAAATCGCCTCTTGGAGCGCTCTTGGGGCGCTCTTGGAGCGCTCCTGGGCACTCTTGGGGCCGTCTTGCGGCCACCTCGGGCCTCTCTTGGGGCCATCTTGGAGCCATCTTGAGGCTTCGGAAGGCTCTCGCAAGCGAACGGGCGACGATGCAAAACGCATTGCTCTTCCTTAAATGGTTGGTTGATGTTCGCGTCTTGGGGGCCTCCTTGGAAGTCTTGGAGGCCTCTTGAGGTTGCCTTGGAGCGTTCTCGGGGCCTCTTGGAGCATCGTGGAAGCAATCTTGAGCCATCGTCGGCTATCTTGAGCAATCTTGGAGGTCAGCTTGGACTCTCTGAGGCGTTGTTGGAGCCGTCTTGGACCATCTCGGACGCTCCAACTACCCGCGAACCCCCCCGTCCAGGCCCAGGGGAGGGGATAGGGGGAGGGGTCAAGACACCCACCCGCCCGCAAGCCGCCTAGCTCACTCCCACCCGCCCTCCCTACACATTAGTAACATCCGAGACTGAGTATGTTCAGCGGTCGGCGTTGGCTGGACAGCTACTGGGAACCAAAGCCGATCACAGGTGCGCGACGCTGGGGCGAGGTGCGCCACGCGTGCCAGGGGCGCCACGCGCGCCAGGCACCCTTGGGGCCCGAGCGTGCCAGGCACGCCTGGTGCGCCAGATGCGACACGTGCCTCGCGTGCGCCAGGTGTGCCGCGCACTCCAGCCGCGCCAGGTGCGCCGCGTTCGGTGCACGTGCTGAGTGCGTCAGGTGCGCCTGCGCACGTGACAGCACACATCGGGAAACATGTCGGTCCTCGCCGTCCTTGTCGAAAACCGATGCCCATAATTGTGTCTGCTGGGCCTGCGCACAGCAGACCACGCGCCACCACCTCCGCCGTCCCAGTGGGACCGCCCGCATGCGTCAACCATCACCCAGCACAGCCCTTCCTCCCTGCGATTCACCTACCCAGTGCAGCGCTTCGTAGCCCCATCGAGAGAGCTCCACTGAAGGCCCCAGTGGCGCCGCCCGCATGCGTCAGCCACCACCCAGTACAGCGCTTCGTGGCCCCGTAGGGAACTCCACCGAAGGCCCTATTGGCACCGCCCACATGCGTCAGCCACCACCCAGTCAGCGCTTCGTGGCCCCATAAGGAGCTCCACCGAAGGCCCTAGTGGGGCCGCCCGCATGCGTCAGCCACCACCCAGTGCAGCGTTTCGTGGCCCCATTGGGAACTCCACCGATGGTCCCAGTGGGACCGCCCGAATGCGTCAGCCACCATCCAGTCCAGCGCTCCGTGGCCCCATAGGGAGCTCCACAGAAAGACCCCAGCGGCACCGCCCGCATGCGTCGTCCACCACCCAGTACTCCATTTCGCAGCCCCGTGGATTGAGAGCTCCACCAAGCCTCAGTGGCACCGCCCGCATGGGTCCCCCCCACCCGGTACAGCGCTTCGTGGCCACGTACGGAGCTCCAGTGGCCCGCCCGCATGCGACCCCCCACCCATTGCAGCGCTTCGTGGGCCCGTAGGGTGTTTCACCAAAGGCCCAAGTGGCATCGCCCGCGTGTGCCCCCCCTCCCAATACAGCGCTTCGTGGCCACATAGGGGGCCCCACCGAAGCCCCCATCGGCACCGCCCGCATGGTTCGGCCACTACCCAGTACAGCGCGTCGGGGCCCCGTAGGGAGCTCCACAGATAGACCCCAGTGGCACCGCCCGCGTGCGTCTCCCCCAACAAGTACAGCGCTTCGTGGCCTCATCGAGGCTCAACGAAGGGCACCGCCCCCACGCCCAGTACAGCGTCTCATAGGGAGCCCCACCGAAGGCCCCAGTGGCACCGCCCGCATGCGCTTCCCCCACCCATTACGGCACGTCACTCACGCGTTTCGTGGCCATCAAGAAGCTCCACCGAGAGCGGCACGCACAACGCGTTACTCGCAACTGCATATGGGTTGCATCGGGTTGGCCGCGCATCGGGTTGGCCGCGCATGGAGGTGGGGGGGGGCGCATCGGGTTGGCCGCGCATGCTCCAAATGTGGAGGCAGAGTGCGTGTTGTACTGTTTTTGACAGGGATGTTTTTTTGGGGGGGGCCTCGTGGGGTTAGCATGGTTCTGGGTTTGCCTCCGGCCAGGTGGGGGAGCGGGTGTATACGAAAAGGGAACAGCGATCAGCCCCTCCCCGAAGGGTAAGAAGGGGGTTGGAAGAGGAGCCTACCCAGACCACCTACGCCCAGAGGGCTGGTGGGATTCTACTCGTAGTCAGACCCACCCATACTCAGTCACGCGCGCTCAGTCACCCATACGCAGACCCAATCGCATTCATACCAATTCATGCGCGACCACTCGTACTCAGACTCACGTATGTTCCGACACACTCACACTCATGTTCTCTAGTTTCCAGGCCGACACGTGCTTAAACCATGAGTTTTCAGCTTGGCTGATCGTGCAAGTCGGACGCACAAGTGTACACATTCAGACACCTTCGCACGCAGACCCACTCATACTCAGACGCATTCATCCTCATACTCACTCACGCTCAGACCCACAGCTACCTAGACCTGCTCATGTTCACACCCACTGGTACTCAGACCCACTCAAGTTCGGACCGACTCGTACTCACACTCAGTGACACTGGGCCACCCGTACTCAGACTCACTCATATTCAGAATAGTTTGCATTCAGTTGGCATTACCCGGTCCCGCTCACACGCAGACGCCTTGACGCTCAGACCCATTCATGAAACCGATTCGCGCATGGGGATATCAAAGTTTGTGGCCCTGTCTGGGCCTTCGAAGACCTGCAGAGACCTCCAGCAAACTCCGCAGACCTCAGGAGAGCGACGGCGAGCGGACAGTGACGCATGCTGTCCCCCAAGGTTCATCGTGCTTAGCGAACAGCTCCGAGAGCGTCAACTCGCCGGCCGAGGGCATGGAGGCTCCTGCCGAGTGTCACGGTCTGAGGAGGGCAGGAGGATCGGATCGACTCGGCAGGAGGAAGTGTTGTGCCTCGCAGCGCCGTCCGGCCCCCCCACCCTTTCCCTTGTGGGGGACCGCAGCGGTGGAGCTTTAGCTCAAAAACAAGCTCTGGCAGTATTTGTATCCCGCTGTGCCTGGCGGTCAACAACCACCCAGGCCCCCACCTTCACCTCGTGGGCAGGAGGGAGCAAGAGGGAAGGTTGGCCATGGTCGCCGTGATGGCCAGAGTCCCTTTGAAGCCCTTGTCCAGAGTGCGCTCCAAGACTGCAGGAGAAGTCCTGGGACGATGTTGAAAGGACAGATCATCGCCTCGGCCCAGTTGCCGGCTGCGCATGGGCCAGAAGAGAGCAAAGCTTACCCCTGGCGTCAAGAGTCAAGGGACGAGGGCGCGCACTGGTGCCGCCACAATCACCCCTTTCCCCACTTGCCACCTGCTCTCCCACTTCCCATCCGTACTCCCCCCTTGCCCTCCCGCGTTTTTTGCCAGGGGCCTCTGGAGCTCTGGAGCCCTTCCAGGGGAGCACCTTTTCATCCCGTCTTGGTTGTCGATGGCAGAGATGCGGAAATGAATGAAACAAATGCCGTCTCAGATTTCTTCTGTGACGCCATGAATTGCCCCTACCCTCCCCAAGATCTGGATTCTTGAGGACTGGAAGGCACAAAATGCGAGCCCACTTTGAACAGGATTCGTTGTCTGTGCCGCTGCAGACGTCATCGATTTGCGACAGGCGTCGCTTTCACGACAGCTGCCGCTGTCGATGTTGGACAACGTTCGCCGTTGACGATCGTCCCCGTGTTCCCCCGTCCCCGCTTCAGGCCTGGCAGTGGACACACCTTGTGAGAAG